CATTAGTCATGCCAAATTAGACTTTGATCTTTTGTGTGCAAAAAGATTAATTTATTACAAGATTTTATGACACCCGTAGCATTTAAAATGTTTAGATATTTAGCATTATTTTATGAGCTCCAGATATATCATATATATTTTAACTAATCATTATTGGATCAGGCACGGAATATAAAAAAGGAGAGTAAGAGAGGGGGTACAAGAAGATGACAGAGACAGTGACTGCAGGTGGAGAAAGAGTAGTTATATAAAGAGAAAAGAATATATTATTATACATACATACACACATGTACACATATACACTTTATATATATCATTAAAGTTTTTCCTGAAATTTTGTATCTTCACTTGTATAAATTTAATCCTGGTCTGTTAAATAGTTTCCTTTTCTTAGTTAATCTATTCCACTCAAGGATAAGTTAAATGCTGTATCATTCATAAATTTATTAAATCATTATATATCTATAATTAGATAGTGATGACCAGGCTGAATCTCAAGCTACAAAACTGACACAAATCAGCATTTTTTTGTATAGCATCATTGACACAGCCAAAAGATTCACTGAACACCATCAGAGGAGTGTTTCACTCTGAAAATAGGGACTTACTAAATTGATATATAAGGTGTTACTCTGGAGAAAAATAAGGATGTACTAAGTGAAGAAAAATAAGCTGAGTTATAAACAATGTAAACATTCGATACTCTAACACACATGAAGAAGTTCATCCACAAAAGGCAACAAATGGGGGTGGCTTGGAGGGCTAATCTGAGAAACAGGTCAGCAGCAGTGCTGAGCAGTGGAACCTACTGAATCATGACCTTGGAGTTATGAAGAGCAACTAGAACTAAAACACCAACAATTTGGGACAGAATATTACAACGTGAAACCATTATGAGTCAAGAAGTACGTCAGACAACCCCCCACCCCGAAGATAAGAGAGGCCAAAGAACAGCAGTGGTCAGACAACCCCCCACCCCAAAGACAAGAGAGGCCGCAGAACAGCAGTGGGGGTAAAATAGGCGGTGACTAAGACCAGACATGCATTAGGAAAAGATTAAGAATCAATAGTTGGACTGGAAAATAGTTCATCACTGTAGGCTGTGGGTAAGAAGAGACATGGCTTCAGATTCAAAAGCTGGGTGCTTGCCGGCTAGAGGACCTTCATCAGAGCACCTCTCAAGGATGTTCAAAGCCTCTTGAGGGTGACGTCTTACTGGCATATATATTAGTTGTACAGAGTAATGGGTTTCATTATGTACTTTCTGCAGACAGATATGGCATATTTCCATCATATTTTACCCAACTCTCCCACATACCCGTCACCCCTTCTCTTCAACCCTTTCTGCTTTCCCAGTGGTTTGCACTCTACTTTATGATCCCCTCACCACTAGTCTCTACTATGAGAGACAACACGTGACTACTGCCTGTCTGCGTCAGGTTTTCATGGAAGATGACAATCTCTAGCCCTACACATTTTTCTGGAAATGACACGACTCATTCTTTTGAGATGAGTAATCTTCTATTTTTTTCTGTATAGCACATTTGCTTCAACTCTTCACCTGCTGAGAGAACTTGGGGGTGATTCTATATGACGTGGCTGCTGTGAACGCCGCAGAAACACTACAGGCATGCCATTCTATGACGTGGCTGCTGTGAACGCTGCAGCAATACTACAGGCATGCCATTCATTGCCTCTTCTTTATCTGACATGAACTTCTAGAAGGTCACAGGACTGGGATAACTAAATAACATGGGACTTCTATTCTTGGGTTTTGAGGCACCTCCAAGCTAACATTCATGATTACTGAACTAATTCATATTTCTACTGGCAACACAATAGTGTTCTTTTTTTTCTCTCACAGCCTCAGCAACATCTGCTCTTATTGTTTTCTTGTTGATGGCCATTCTAGTTGGTATGAGTAGAACAAAAATTTCCACATAGATTTATGTTTATTTTTGTTAGTTTGTTTATTTTATTTGTGTGTGTGTTTCTAAGGATTCATTATTTTTTAATTCCAGATAGTGTATAGCTTTACATCATTCTGAAAGATATATTTATAATATGCCACATTATATGATATAGAGGCATTAGTTTTAGGTTAAAACAAAAAAAGCCAACCATAGGAGGTTATCATAGAAAAAGATAGTAATCACAATAGCAGTTAATAATGCTTCTGAAGATACATAGACAAACATAGTTAGAGAGCATTATATTTTCAGTTATTCACTGTATTCATGAAAACATTACTTCTGAATCATATAAATTATTTAGTAAAAAATTTGGTTTGGGCTATCCTTAATCAATGTGTACTATTAACCAATACACTACTACATATATATATATATACACTACCTATCAATACCAAAAATGGAAAGGATGGATTGCCGGGAGCTTATAAATATTAGCTAAATGAGATGGAAAATTCAGAGAAATATGACAATTTACAAAATTCTAAACAACATTAGAAATAGAAAATATAAATAGTGAGATATTTTAAAGAAAATGCAACTTTAATTAAAAGCCTTCCTGCTAAGAAAGTCGTGGACGGTTCCACGAGCACTGTCCCCAGCATTCTGAGGAAGACATAACCTCAGACCTCCCATTTTATGAAATCAATACCACCTTCATTTCAACAAAATCTTAGAAAATCAGCGACTTTCACATACAAAAGCATTAAAGATTTAATTACAAAAATCTCCATGCAAGCAAGAAAGACATGTATAATTGGCAAGCCATCACCAGTCAGTGGGTAACTGCCATGTACATCTCACAACCACAGCTTCCACCATGGGACCTCAAGAAGGCATGTTGTGACATGGCTATGCAGGTTTCTGGGGCTTTAATGCTAATAAAAACTATTTTCTGCCCTTATGTTGAGACTGAAGTTCTATTGAAAAACAGGATTATCTGCGATTTGAGTTCCTTGGGTAACAAAGAAGAAAGTTGTATGTGAATTAGGGAGAAAAGGAATTACAATATAAGATTAGTCACTTTGGATCTACTAATCTATAGCATTAAAGCCAGATATAAGTTAGTATACTGATCACTTACTACAGTTTGGCTGCTCTAAGACATCACTTTTTTTTTTTTTTAAATTTGAGAAGATAAGTGTTTTGAGAGTACGTTCATCTGGATGTTCCTGTGAGCTCTTACTTCTGTGACAATCCTCTAGAAAGCAGTAGGAGAGGTTCTCCTGGGCTCCCATTCGTCACGGCTGGGAAGATATGTAAAGCATTATTAAAGCTACCCCTAAAGAGTTCACATAAGAAAGAAGTTGCCACCAGCCACCAGCTCTTTACTCATGATTTATTTGTGTTCAAAAAAAGGATGATGCAGAAACTTGAAAAAATTAACTAGCATTTCAAAATTTAATAGCAAGATATGTATATTCTTATTTTGAAATGACATCGATTGTCATCTTCTGGAGTTTACATAAACAAAATACGATGCCATAAAGTAATCAGTATGAGAGGTTCTTCTTGACCCAGTAAGAAGACAAAATGATGATGAATATAAATAGCCTGCCGGTGTGTGCCAACACAAACAGTGACATTGGTTTTAAAAGCCTTCTCCCCAGTTCGCAGGAGTGGGGTCAGAACTGCAAGTAGACTTCTAAGGTTGGCCTTGCTGTCTCCTCTGCTCTGTCAGTGTCTGCCGCTCCTGCTGAAGATGTCCCACGTGAAGACAACAGATTGGGGCAGTGATGTAACTGCCATTCTCCTCTGTTCCCCAAGCTAGACCTTTGCTCTTATTCAATGTCTTTAATGCGAAAGGCAAAGAGAGTTGGGGCTGGATGCAGGGCTTGGCACTAACCATGAAAGTGTAACTGTTCCCAGGATGTACACTCACCCCAGCCGTCTCATCTCCCAATTCCTCCATGTTTCCTGTTTTTGTTGGAGCCTATAATGCATCACACCGTCCCTTATTTACTATATGCTCATGGACTGATTGGTGTTTTCTTGTTTAAAGAAATACAGACAACTCTGTATATAATATTACTCCACACACAGAGGCAGCAGACTTCCCCAAATGTACCAAAGAAGCTAGAAAGAATATGAATCCTAGATCAAGATTCAAACCAGAAATAAAACTTAGGACACTTTTACTCTTTTTTTCCCCACATAGAAAACTTTGATTTGTCCTTATTAAGCACCATTGAATTTCACCCTCATTCCTTTCAAATTTGTCTAATCAACAATAAACATCAGACCACTGAAAAACTTAGAAAAACAATAAAGAACTGAAAATATTTCCAAATAATATAAAATATAAACTTTAAATGCAGAGTTTCTACAGTTTAGTGTGGCAACTTACAGACCCTTTGTGAACTCATGTCAGCTTTATTTTTGTTTTAAGCAAACAGATTTATTTTTGTTTTTAGGAAATCCAGATAAGATTTTTAGCTTGAAGATTAAGATCTTTGCATAGTTTATTTCTGAGTCTGGTATATACTTGATTCAATAAATTACAATTGCAAATTTCTCATTATAAAATCTAAACATGCATTGTGTTCTCTGCGGTTGAAAGCTCAAGCCTGTTACCTGAAGGTTCTGTAGATGGAGACACCATGACGGTATGGTAAACTCTTCAAAGGAAAGCGGAAAAATCCATTTGAGAAGGAACTAAATAGGCTTTATCCTTGACATGTGAGGTTAATACCAGAATTTTCCATTGATTCATTATCAAAATGTTCACGGTGATTTGATTTGTCGTCTCTTACTATTTGTCTAATCTGGGTAAACTGTTACGCTAAGATATAATCTACTGTTGGTTACTTAATACCTCTCACCTGAGAAAACTGCTAATCCACAGGCAATGATTTCATTTTTAAAGGGATGAATGACTAGACAAAGGACAGCTTCAGAAAGTGAGCAAAAGCACAGGTGTGAAAAGCCTGCACTTAGGCCCCTCTTCCAGCTGTGTTCCTCTCTACCAGTACAGGGACCAGTGAAAGTACCCAAAACCCAAGACAGCAGCGTGCTGCTTGGATTACTCACAAGTCACCGTGGATGAGTCCATAGATCTGCGACATATCCTGACGATAGACTCCTCTCAGAATAACTATGAGGAGAATCACCACAAAAGACGGAAGGCCCCAGCTCAGAAGGCAAAAGAGCAGGTATCGCCTCTCGGTGTGCTCGTCACTCATCACCAGCACGTACCAGAAGTTCACAGACTAGGGAAGGAAGAGATATGAGCAGGCTTGGGGTTAGTGGCACAAGATCCAGCTCTGCTGGTGTAGACACGCAGGGTCACTAGCAATGACGGGGAAGATCAGCTTCATAAAAATAGTTTAAGTTGGATCATTTTTAAGTTACAATATTCCTTTATTTTAGATATTCAAAAAACCTGTGGCATTTTTAAAAACTCTGGGAACATGAGAAAATATTTAATCTAACTGCTCTTTTCTTTTCCCTACTATGTTCTGCCTTAAACTTTGTCATGATCTTCTGAGTGTCTGTAAACATGCCTCTGAAAAAACAAACACTGTCTGTCACCCAAACCACTTCCCATAGGAACAAATTCGTGATGAGGATGAAGAAAGAATGCCTCTGAACTTTCAGAGATTTTGACAGCTTTTGTACATGAGCGCCCAATACAGAGGAGAGCCAGGCTCTCTCTTAACAGTGTGTGTATGCAGGACTACTGAACCCGAAACACAGTGCGACTATGAATGGAGAAAAATCAAGAAAGATTGTAGTCTGTTTGCACTTTCTTGTTCATTTACTTGACTATAGTGAATATCAGAGGTCAGGTTAGCCACTGAGGGTGCATCGTTGAAAGGGTGGGATGTGAGTTACTATTTTGAATCATAGATTCTAACAAAAGGGCACCAAATGAATAAGAGAAACACTTATTTTATATCAAAACCATATCACATATCTTCTAGTTCCTAGGATAAAAGTATACAAGGGGCACGTGCCGCGAGTTCGGAGGACGTAGGGACAGATTAGACCAGATGGAATGTGGAAAATAAAGCACATAGATGCCATCACCGTCCCCAAGGACCAGCTCAAGCTTGTGTCAAGGCCAGATCCAGAAGTTATCGTTTCTGTCTTCTACCATTTTCTTTCCTTGATTGCCTTACTTAGCTATTACTGAGTACAGCAATGACAATGGCTGTCACAGCACCCCATTATATCTCCTTCCTGCAAAAGTCCCCCTTCTCAAGTCAATGTGTGGAGTACAGGTATACATGACTTCACACACATGTTCCTGAGGAGGACCAACTCCAGAAGGGGCAGCATCTGTACGCTCTCTGCTTCTTTATCATGCATGGTTATTAGAAAACTGCAGTGAGGGCTGGTCATGCAAACTGCTGAGCGCACACATGGTTCCCCCTGGAAAATGTCACCAGTTCCTCAAGTCTCCTAGAAAGATGTGGACAAGCATAAATAACTTATGCCCCAAACTCGAATGACACAGTGTAAGCCCTTTCGAGTGGAAACAAGTATGTCTCATGCTGTGGGAGGCTTTGAGAGCTGTTTACTGAGGCTTCTGAGCAAGATCCTATCTGCACCATTTCGGTCCAGAGGGATTATACGAGGCTAAACTTGGGAAGAATAAAAACATTTGGTTCCTTGGAGATTTTTGTCTTTGAATTTATTTCCTTATCTTTATGCACATCTGCATATAAATGCAATTATAAAGCATGTTTTGAATTGTTGCTCATACAATTTTGTTCTAACTCCTCTTTAAAAGTGATTAAGGCCAAAGCTTGTTGTGCTACCCCACCTCTGTGCACACCTCCCTCTACACTTAGCATCGGGTGTAGACTCAAACCAGCAACTGCTGTGTACAGGATGCTGAAGCAGTCAATGCTGGTTATTAGAGGACAAAGTCAGCCAAGCTAAAGGTCACTCCAGACGCACCAGTTGTGCAATATACACCCTAACACAGGATGTGTCTATGTGCGTCTGCAGAGTGGGTCAACCTGCACTGCAGAAGGGGCAAGTGTCCAGATGGAAGGGTGTAGTGGATGATGTCTCCATTCATTCAGCTTGGTAAGGCTTAGGGTTTTCTCTGATGTCTGCTTTCACACAGATGGTAATTCCTCACGGAGGACAGCTGAGCCTTCCAGGAACATCTCAGCCACAGTCTTAGCTAAGAGAAAGTGGGAAGTTGAGAAAATTGTTTTCTAGGTTCATCCGTGCAGGACTTCATAGTATCACTGGATTCTCAATGACTTGATTCAGGAAAGCTAGCTCTGTGTCATAAACTTCTGTCAGTTTGAAAAAATGTAAATGCCTTCCTAACAAGATCCAATCACTGAAATATACTATGAAGAAAGCATTACATTGTATATCATTTTTCACAGTATAGGTTGGAAATACTATTGTAAAATATTTTAATTATTCTTGTCAACCATGTGGTCCATATGTAAGATTTTCTCTGACTCATTTAAGCTTTCTTAAATTTTTTTTCTTTCTCTATCTTTCTCTTTCTTTGTTCTTTCTTTCTTTCCTCCTTCCTTTCCTACCTTTCTTTTTTTCCTTCTTTCTTTCTTTCCTCCTACCTCTCTTTCTTTATATACAGCCAAAAATAATCATGGATTCCTCATCCTCCTGACTCCCCCTCCCAAGAACTAATATTAAAAGCATGACATTAGAGTCACACTTGACCTTAATTTTATTTTAATATATTCAGGTAGTCATATTTTGAGTTGCATCCCTAGGTTATGAACTTCCTTTCCTAAGCCCTGTCTCTCGTCTCCCCCGGCCATACACAGTATTGGCTCAGAAGCTCCATGTGCCATGCGACCCTGTTCAGCTTGTCAAGGATTCATCTGGACCAATCACTTCATTGAATCACCTTGCAATCCCATGATCACCTAAACTGTCTGTGAAAACTGACCTGAAGCAGCTGTGCTATAGCAAAGTCTGGAGAGAAAGAGTTTGCAGGGAAGGCTGGAGTGAGTGCTCTGATCTACTGACCACTGACATGATTCGGTACTGTTTCAATCAGTTTAACTTAGTTTACTTAGTCTTCTAAAGTAACTGTGTGTGTGTGTGTGTGTGTGTGTGTGTGTGTGTGCGCACGTGTATGTACGCACACGAGAACCATTCTTGAAGCTAAAAGATAAACTGAACATTTAACCATTTTCCTGTCCTTAAATTCATAACTCCTCTTTTGTAATACGATGTAGAGTGTTGAAGTCACATGTAGTGGCATATGCTTCTAACCTCAGTACTCACAAAGTGGGAGCAGAAGAATCAGGAATTCAAGGTTACCCTCAGCTGTATTGCCTCTTTTAGGATAGCCTGAGGTATATAGGATCTTGCATTAAATAAACAAATAACCCAAGGCTAATTATATTTAAGATTTATTTCCTTAGAAGTTCATAAAAACACTGATATTAGCATCTTTTTCATAAGACCCTTATTTTTTTCTTTTTCTTTTTCTTCTTGATATTTCTAGAAAGGGATTCTCTGTAGCTTTGGAGGCTGTCCTAGAACTAGTTCTTGTAGACCAGGCTGGTCTCAAATTCAGAGATCTTCCTGCCTCTGCCTCCTGAGTGCTGGGATTAAAAGCATGCACCACCACCACCCAGCTAAGACCTTACATTCTTATCTTTCCATAACCAACACACACTTACATGTGAGTAGAGATTCATGGTCCAAGAAGAAAATAGAGATGTTTATTCTCTGCCCATATTCTTTTATGGTAACATTTAGTAAAGAATGAGAGACTTAATTCATATATAAATTGATGTGGCAGATTAATTTTTGTGTATCTTGTGTACAAAATCACATTTTATAGTATCTGGTTAAATGTTTTGCTTGTAATCTTTGAGAAAATCAAATAAGTGAAAATGAATATATTTTTGCACCATTTTAATTGAGTTTAATAACTATTTTATGAATTGAAATAATTGTAAATTTCCTCCCACATATGTAAATATGTGCAAGCATGTGTGTGTGCACACATGCATGTGCATGTATGTGTGTACTTTAAAACCTTTGTTCGGAAGGAATTTTAGAAGACAATTTTATTTCATCAAACTTCCTTTTAAGAGGAACACAAGTTAACTAGCGAAAATTTTAAAATATTAAATGCAAAACATAAATTTAATCAATATTTATTGAAAAATAAATATCGACCTCATGAGTTAATATACATCAATCTAATTTAATTCAAGAAATTTCGTGCTGTATTATTTTAGTCCTCTCTGTCTCTCTCTGTCTTCACTCTCTCATGGAAGAACTACATTTCCAGAATTAGTAACTGCGACTGCGAGATTTTTAATTGATTCCATTTAAAGTACACAAAATAAACCTAACTAAAATACCCAAATAAGATTATTTATACCAAATATACATAAGAAAAATTAAAGACTGTATTTATAAGCATATTGGGTACATTACTACACAGAGAAGTATCTATACAAAAAAATTGAAAACATTGTTTTAGGCATTAATAAGTCAGAATTATGGTTTTATATATTCTATAAACACAAATTCATTAGTTCATTACTACGTCTTCATATAACTATTAGTATGTTAGAAAAGTATAAAGGAGACATGCCATTTATTTTAGGCTAAATAGGGTATTTGAATGCTTTAAATTTCATATGAACAAAGATTTTATCCAGGCAGTGTATAATACTTGGTTATTAATTATTTCACTAGAATCACTGAACTGATGTATAGCGTAACATGTAATCTGCAATCACACAAGCTACTAATTCTACTCATCACTACGTGTTCTTAATCATTCATTTTAGATGCAAATCTAAGAAATGTTCTCACACGTCCTTTTCCTTCCCTTTTTTATTTTTATTTATTGCATTAAAAGAATTGCAAGGCTGTTGGAGGCTTGATAATTCAGTATTTCCTGGGTATGTCATTTTTATCTTGGTAATTATCAGCCTGTTGTCTTCAATACTTTTGAAGTTCTGTCAAATTAAATCAATGACAAAGGAAAAACATGGCTAATTTTAGCGTTCCTCTTCCTGTGGCCATGCTCCAGCCCTTGCTACTAAGGAATTAAGATCCTGTATGTTTGTTTCTACATTGTCAGGCTACTTGGAGAAGTTAAGGCAGAAGATATAAATGTTCAAGCATAGTGATTTCTAGCCTATTTTACCAATTTAAGAATGCATTCATCAAGGAAACTTTACTTTCAAATTAAAACAGAGTTTGAATAAGCTGTGACCTTAGGAATGAGAGAATGAGATTGTAGAGACAATGCAAGACTCTCCTGTCCTCTGTGCGGGAAGCAGGTTGCTCTACAGTGATTTAACATAGTGACATGATGGTCATAAAACTGAACCAAATGAATACAAAAGCAAAGTTACATTTACGTCTACTGCATGTGGATATTGCAAACAATCACAGTTTATACTAAAGTTCTTCAGTGAACCCATGATCTGGTAATCCAATTGGAAGCATGTCTTGTATGACCATACATAATAAAGACATAATATTTAGGAATTCTATGGATACTCTCTAAGCAAACAACTGTTATTTATAATACAAAGAACTTGCTATCATTAACCAGAATTAATTAGAGACTACAAAATAAATTACAAAATAGCTATATTATAGCATAGAAGAGAGTAGAGTTAAACACTGTAAAAGTAAAGATTCCCAAACATAAATATATATACATTCACATAAAAAGTATATACAATCACAAGGATACACATGTGTGTTTGTTTATGGATTTATAAATATTTGTCTACTCATGGGGTATTTGTGGAGGCATACACAGGAAACCATTAGCACTGTTTACCTTTGAGCATGGCGTTGGGGATAAAGCAAAAATGTCAAACATTCAAAAGAGCAAGGAAGATGTACAATTGATTCGACATCACTCTGACGTGTTTTTATTTTGTAATATTAGTATATGTTATCTCTAAAATGAAAGAAAATCAAAACAACTAGTCAGCAGCATAGAGGAGAGGCATTCCAACATTTGAAATTCTCGCTGTCAATCTAACTTAGAGTAAACATGACCCTGGCGTCTTAAGGAAGTGGGAAATGATTTCAGTGTTCACACTGAGTGATCTTACACGAAGAACAAACAGACGGGCAGGACAATCATCCTTGGCCCAATACGGAATTTGTGAGTTGTTTGTTTCAAAACCAAATAAGCAAACTTTGTTATTGTTACATTCCCACCGTGGCTATGTGACTCCCCCTGCGAGAGAAAGCCAAGCCTGAGGAAGGGAGTAAGGTTGTTGGTGGGAGAGGCGGGGATGAACAGGCATGCGTACTAACCTAGAGATCAGAGACTAGCCTTGCTAAGGTTTTGTGGCTGGTGTGTGCCTCTCTTAAAATCAGCCTGTTCCCACGAAGCAAACACATCCCTCATTAAACGAAAGATATTAATTACATTGCAAAAGTAGAATATTCAACATCTCTGCTATTTTAGTCACACGTTAGCCTCTGCATCACCGTAAGTGAATGTGCACAGTGAACACTCTGAGCTGGGCATAGGGTCAACTTTCTGTATGGATTAGTTAGTTTCGTATTTTCACAGTTTTCAAAGATGGTGTGACTGTAACCTGATTTGCAAGATAGGCTGAGAGATGTTATATAACTTGTTTATCAATTAGAGGTTCCTCCTGGCGTCTAAATGTAATCTAACTTTAGCATAGGGTGTTGCAAACGTGACAGAAAAGTAAAGTGCGACCATTTACAAATGTGTATCCTGACATTGAAAGTGTGACCCAAAGACCCATCAGGCTGTTACTTTAAAATGTTTGCTTTAAGGGCATTTTTTATTATCTCTACTTATGTGTGTCCTAATGAGTGTATTGCAAGGGTATACATGTGTTGAGGTCAGAGAAGAACTTATTAGAAGCAATTCCTTTCTTCTAATATGTGAGTTCAGTGCTTTAACTCAGGCTCAGTCTTGTCAGCAAGCATTTTGCATTTTGCCCATTGAGTCACCACCCCAACCCAATCTGATAAATCTGGTGCTTTTAACTTTGTGACTAAAGATTAATGATGAACTCATCATCATCACGTGACCCATATATAGCATCTGATTCCTTCCTGTGGTGGTAAAAACAAAAAACAGGAAGAAGAATTATCAGAGTGCTAACATTCTTTCAAGACTTTCTAAATTTTTCATTTATTTTATATGTGTCTGTTTCGCCTGCATGCATTTCTGCACACTATGTATGTTCTCGTGTTCGAGTTTTAGTCGGATTTGCCTCACAGGATTGGACTAATACTAGCCTATCTTACTGCATAGTGATTTTTAAGACTGACTTAGATCTTTAAAACGAGTTTCAGCACACAGCATTTTATAAATGGAAAGTACAGATTGGCAAAATGACATCTGACCATAAAACAAGTTATTAAAAGTAACCTACCTAAAATTCAGAAGTTATTGGATTTTCCCTTGTGGTCACACCACAAACCGTGCAGGATGTGGAGTGCACCATTTGAAATACATTATACTTCACCTCTACGCGCAACCATTTCTTTAAACCATGAGCCACACAGAAACATAGTTAATCCACTAAATATGCATCAGCCACAACCAGATTTCCTTGCTGACCAGAAGTGTAGGCAAGGAAAAAGCAGATTTCCATTAACTTTGGTTAAATCTTATATAGCCTCGGGTTTAATATCCTGGAAACAGGGACTCTACCAGAAGTACATGCGAAAGTCATTTCTCTGTTTGAATATGACTCACTATTTGATTCCCTGTGCTTCCAAACTAGACTCTTCAGCTCCGAGAGTATTACTGGCTGTGAATGTTCTTAACTTGAATGACATTTTCATTTTCTAATAGTTTTTGTCCTGGTTCTGCCAAATGCAGAATCCTGGTCCAGGCTTTGTCTCCTGCAGCATCTCTCCTGGGGTTTCTTTCAGAAGCATCTTCCCAAACCCTTTCCAAGAAAGAACCTTCTGATTCCTCACAAGCTAGGACGTGAACTGCGAACACGGTCTTTGTCCCTAGGATGACAGTGCATTATAGACTATACTGCAGTCATGGTTGCTTTCATACTGTTACTCATGTAACCTAGGTCTGTGTGGTACTCTGGTCACACGTCACATTTCCACTGAGTTTATGTTAGGGTGAAATCTCCAGCATTTATATTATAGTTCATCCGTGACACTGTTCTTTTATTATGCAATGTATAAGTATAGGTTCTCATATTGGTTCTACAGGGAGTCTTACACAGAAGGCTTCCTGCTGTGACTATCCCTTTATCTCTGGATATCTTCAGATCTGATAAGCAGTTTCCTGTGTTTTCATCTACATCATTAATCAGAAACTCAGAATATGTCAGGGACAGGGACAAAGGCCTTCAGAAAACCACTGCAGACTCAGTCCAGGCAGATAGACAGCCTACCTGCATGGTCATTTACTAAAACCTCCAGCTTAGATCAAATCCCAAAGTAATCTTGCAATTAGGAGATCTAATAAATTTATTCTAATAAGGAGCTACTTCAGTTTTGCTTATGTTAGACTTATTTTTAAATCAATTGACAGAGATGTTAGAGATAATGACATATTTTCCACATTGGAGATTCTGAAAGATCTATAAAGCAGTAATTATAGGAGTAAGAAATTATCATCCCCATCCGCAGATTCAGAAACATACCTTGGAGAGAGGAAATAATTGGATTGAGATATGCAGAGAGAGGAAGGCCAGAGGCCTACTCAAGAATCTCCCTCTGTTCTCTCTCTCTCTCTCTCTCTCTCTCTCTCTCTCTCTCTCCTCTTCTCCTTCTCCCCCTTTCCTGTCATAACCCACTTAATAAATATCCAACCTCACTCTGCATAGCATGCCTATCTGTCTGTCTCACACCTGCTGCAAAAAAAAAAGAATGAAAAGAGTAAAGAAAAGAATCTCCCTCTGTCCCTCTCTGCTTCGCTGCCACATCTACTGCTGCTGACCACTGGAAACTCTTGCCTCCTCACTGCTCTTACTCAGCACGGGAGCCATTCTCCATCAGATACTCACAGCAGATACAGAGAATTCAGGGACTGCCAGCTCCTGCATTCCTGACAATGAATCTACACCCCAAATTCTGCATTAATGAAAAGAAATAGCCAGAGTTGTTCACTTTGTTCCTCTTGACACTTCTCTATTTGGTAGGAATGTTCCACCATCTTACGGTACAGTTAACACTAATAACTGGTGTCCCCAGACATTCTTCCCTTCCTCCAGGTAACCACACGCAGGAATATCTTCCTAAAACCGAAATCTATTGACACCATTCCCTTTCTTCAACAACTTGTATGATGATCCAGAGAATGCAGTTCAAAGGGCTTATTCTATAAGACCCATATTCCAAGTTTCTTCTTCTACACCCTGTTGTTTTCAGTCATGCTAGATTTGCCTCGTTTTTCCTAACTGTGCTCTCTGGTGTGGCAAAGTTACTACACATTCCTGCATTTACACCCTGGGAAAGGTGTGATGGCTATATTGGAATTATTTCTCCGTCAGTATGGAGAACACCAGGCACTAAGGCTGCCTCGGGACCCAGAGTCATTGGAGGCAGTGGTGAGGAGTGAATGAGCAACCAACCTGAATGAGCATCCAGCTGAACTGGCATAGGTACAGGTAATGTGTCACAGCGGCCACGGCAGCACAGCTCTCGTCGCTGAGCTGGGGACTTGCGTATGCAGAAGCCAGGAACACAACCTGGAAGAAAGAGGAAGCTCTCTTTTAAGTTGTGCTAAGACTGATGAAGACTGTCCAGAAAACAAGCAACTTTCTCATCTGAATCTGTAACTGAGAGAAAGGCAAGGCTGGCCTGTTGCCTGACTCACATAAGAGCCAATCTCAGGGGCAGTGTGTGAACTTCTGCATTTCTAAGAACCCATAAAGGATATAACATTATGTTCTATGTTGCTGTAAGGCTCTCAAGAGCAAATTCTCAAAGTAAGCCACATTCTTGCCACTGCTGGACCCAAACTGAAGCTTCGAAAGCCATTTATTCCTGGGAGGTAGGGAAGAAGCAGTGTGGAAATGCCGTTCCAGCTAATGAGACAGGGACATAAGACGAATCTTTGACTTTCCTCCCATCTGCCACCTCTTGCCAGCTAGCAACATGCAGAACAAATAGGCTTTAAGTATTTTAAAATTTCAAGTCTCAAAATTACCTAAATGGTGGGGTTTTAGTATCACCTTCAAGCCTGTGTTCCATGCCACCCTTACATCGAAAATGACTGCTTTCACACTACTTAAATCATATCTCTAGTCTCTTTCCCCACACATTTAAATTTTAACTCATTTTATAAGATGAATCCTCATTTCCTTCTCCCATACTGTAGATCATCATCATCATCTTCATTATTTCACTGACTAGAATTATAAAGACAGAAATTTTAATCTTTGATTTTGCTGATGAATTTCAAACACCAGACTTTTGGCACCTGGTAGAATTCAGTAAACACCTGTTAAATAAATGGTCAAAGCAAGTGGAAGATCACTTTGTATTCTTCCAATATAAACTACAATATCAAACTTTATAATGGGAAATACAGTTAGAAAAAGAAAGATTGGTGCAATAATATAATACTATAACGTCTGAACAAATGAACTTTGTACTTAATTTCATCAACAGTAATAGCAAAGTTAGCAAAAATTAAAGTGTAGCCCTTTTATATCCTAGAGTTTCAGAATTATTTGTAAAAATGGAGCTTCCTAACTCAATTTTCTGTTTATTTAGTCCTGGGCTTGGCATCTTTACTATACACTGTTATAGCCAGCAAGTGCCAGCATTTCAAGTATAAACTATAAACTCACTGTGCACTGTTTCTTAATAACCTAGAAGATAGGAGTGCCCCCAAAATTAGCAACAAACCTCACGCTGCCAGAACACAGCACACAGCAGTTTCTGAATCATTACGGCTTGTCCTTAGAGCATGTTTAGATTTTCCTAGACTTCAGCTTCTGTGTGTAACTTCCAAATAATGAAAAACATATTTCATAAATTTAACCTTGTAAATTCCACACAACCTAACTGAACACCTTCTAGGTCCTGAAAACTGGGTAAGACTTGGCCTTAAAAAAAAATCCTCAGAAGTAAAAGTCCACCTCCACTCCCAGAATCCCTTTGACAATTTGTCTTCGTTTTTAAGCACACTGGCATCTCTTTCACCGACTCTACAAATGTACCTGCAACAACACTAATCCTCTCAATCTTGGACTCTGAAGAGTACAACTTTGTAGAAATCTGATGTTTTCTTTACACTAAACCTGAACAGATTGCTATAAAAAACAACCACACAAATTGTAACGGAGAATGTATATTTAGTTTGCAGATTCTGTGAAACTAAGTGGAACACTGATTAAGTATTTTCCTAACATTTTTCTTAGAAGCAATCAAATCACTGAAGGTTATTGTTTAAAACTGCCCCTGCTTCCAGAAGATAGTTTTAACACCACAAATTCCATTCATAGGGTATGCTGTCTTCATTTCCTTTTTAGATTTGGATCTGTCTTCCTAAGTGATAAGAACACCAGTATAATTTTGTGACCCATCAAACCTGTTTCAATCTGCTCTCTGAATATTCAGAATTACTTCTCACTGTGTGAAAGAAAATTAGTAAGATAAAAATGAGCTGCCTCCACCTTTAGCAAAGATGAGCTCAAAATACTTCAAAAGCTTACATGTCATGTCAATAGACCTGCCCCAGATAGTTTATTTAAATACTGAAATGAAATAAAGTAAAATAAAACATAATCTTCATGCATTAGTAGTTCACAGAACCCTAAGACTATATAATCTAAGAACAGATGGGTCTGAGCTCTGTTCCTTCTGCATTACACTAAGAGATACCAGAATAAAAATTATTTTCTTTATTCTGTAACACATGTGAAGATGTGTTACATTTTTTTGTTGCAGAATATTACTTTAACTACATAAATGTATGCTACATTAGTTTATGCTGCATTTGTTTAACTATGTAAAATGTATTGTTTGTTTTTTCCTTGCCTGCCTAAGCCACCTGATTGGTTTAATAAAAAGCTGAATGGCCAATAGCTAGGCAGTAGAGAGATAGGCAGAGCTGGCAGGCAGAGAGAAGAAGTTGGAAGAGGAATCTAGGCTTGAGAGAACAGAGAAAATGAGGGGTAGCACCCAGGCCCAGACAGACAGACATGGAATCAGCAAGGAAGCAGGACACACAGAATGAAAGAAAGATAAAAAGCCAGAGGCAAAATGTGGATGAAGAGAAACAGCTTAATTTAAATTTAAAAAAGCAGCCAGAAACAAACCTAAACTTAGGCTAAGCATTCATAACTATTAAGTCTCTGTGTTGGGGGCTGGCAGTCTGAGAAAGTCTGCTACAGTGCTCAATATTTTGTTCATTTACAATAAAGTAAAACTCTGTTCTGCTGGTGGATGATAGCCCTATCGTGTCAATGCGGAGAATAGAAATAAAGGTGTCCCTGCTTGCTGCTAAATAAAATCTAACAACAAATATTTAGTTTTCTGTTGTCTCAATTCTTTTTATTCCTTGAGATTCATGCTCCCCCTTTCCCACTTAACGGTGGAAACTTACTTTTCTCTGAATTCATTCTTCAACGTCTCTACTCTCAGCCTGTCCCAAGCCTATTTAGTTTTGATAGGGCAAGTTAATTCCACCTGCCTACACTAATCACAGTGTTTTCTAGATTCTCCTATTTTCAGTGGGAGCACATTGGTACTGAACAGCCAGCTATAGTTCTTTCTTGTAGCAGGCGGTCTATAATGGAACGCAGCTCTATGAATAATGTAATAAATTGTGACAAGTGTTTCTAACAGAAGAAAGTGAATCTGAGGGGAACGCAGAGGATGGTTAGCTCCGTCAGTAGGACTCAAGGGCCTGCGCAGAGGGAATCCTAAATCTTGCCTGCTTCCAACTCATTTTCTTTAAACTCACCGCCTGGTGCATCTCTCTAATCTGTGTGCACCTGCTGTTCTCCAAATGCGCTTCCGTCCTTTTTCCTTATTTACACAAGACTTTCTTTCCCATCTTTCCTAGGCATCATTTGTCAACTTTGACATTAGCTCATGGCTGTTTATTTCAACCAAACAAACATTATGGATGTCAGACAAGGGCTCAGCCACTTAGCTAGAAACTCTTGGTCTCCATGTTTCGTAAATATAAGAGAATTAGATGCCCCACAAATTTCAATTCTTGGGTGAAGAAAACATCAATGTCTCAGAACATTGTCTTTCTAAGAAGAGGAAATCCTGGTCACGGCACACACACTTAGGGGAAAGGCCATGTGATGGCCCAGGAAAATGGTGACCAGCCAAAACCAAGGAGGGGGGTCTCAGACATGTTCAAATCTGCAGACACCAGATACTAACCAAACACATTTCCCTCTGTAAAGAACCAAGATCATTCCCTTCTATCCTTGCTGTACTGGGAATGTGTTCTGGGAATAGTGACTGAAATTTGTTAAATTCTATTTCTATGTCAAGATTATCATTATTTTCTTCTCTAGTTTGCTAATGTAAGTTACACTGATGTTTGAATACTAAGGCTTCGTATTTACTAAAACTGCTCAGAGGGTCACACTGGTGCTGGTGATGGGCACCGGATGACAAGACAGGACTTCCCAGGCAACACCATCTAGTTAATAGTTTTCCTTCTGACTTCTGTCATTATTAGCAGACACTTTATATTTACAGACCATGTAAGTCTCACATTTCATTACTATAACCCTTGCTTGGACACAGTTATCTTTAAAGCATACATAGATAATACAATTTCCTCTGCATTTACCTTCTGATTAGTCTTTCTGGTGCTGCTTGTGTATTTGTACAAGTTCACATTCCCATCTAGCAGCATCCCTTCTGCCTGAAAGATTTCCGTTTTCTCACAGTGTGATACTGCTGGCAATACCTCCCGTAACTTAGGTGTTTGAAAATATCATTATTTCAACTTCATTAGAAAGCAATAGCTTTAAATTATTATGTTGACCATAATAACGGTCATAATAGTGACCATTATAATGGCCAACATTTTTCTCCTTCAGTTCTTAAACATGTAACTATACTGTCTCTGTGTTAGTATTATTTCTAAAAGGAAATTAGACTTAATTCTTACATAAAATCTTTGTTTCTGTATTTGTGACTTTTAAGTTTTTCTCCTTGTAACAAACTTTGAATAATTTTATCATGACAGTCTTATTTAGTGCCTTTATATTTCAGCTTGTAGATTACTGGTTGATTTGTGGTTTTATAATTACAGCAATCTTGGAAGGTTTTTTCCAATATTTTTCCATTCATACTCTTTTATAGACGTTGCTGAACCTCAATTACACACACATACCAACCCTTTTTATTTTCCCTACAACTCTCTAATATTCTCTCAGTTCTATGATTTTCAGTCTTTCTGGTTTCAGTTTTAGAAAATTATATGACTATGCTTTCAATGTGACTGAATTTTTCTTTCATTATTTCTAATCTGTTAATTTTACTTGGTATATGTTTAAACTTTTAGATCACATGTGTGATTAATGTGTGGGTTTGATTCATTTTAAATATTGTTAAAATATAGAATTCTGCTGTCATTCTTTTAAATTCCTTCTTGTCTGCCAATTACAACATCAGTTAACACTTAGTATCAATTTATTGGCGTGTCATATTATGGGGTGTGTTTTCCTGCCTCTTGGCAGTCTTACATCTCTTGGTCATTTTACTT